CAAAGTGATGGTGATATAGATCAGGATGTTATTAGCAAAATCTAAGTTGGTTGGTTGAAGTGGAGGAATGCATCAAGCCTATTGTGTGATAGAAAAGTACCGCATAAACTGAAAGAAAATTTTATAAAATGGTTGTGAAACCTGCAATGCTCTATGGCGTAGAATGTTGGCCTTTAAAAGACAAGCATAATACAAAGTTAAGTGATGCTGAGATAAGAATGCTAAAGTGGATGAGTGGCTTGAAACTTAGAGAAAATAAAAGAGAAAAATAATACAGAGTTAAGTGTTGTTGAGATAAGAATGCTTAGATGGATGAGTGGCTTGACACTTAAAGACAAAATGTGAAATGATTATATGCGTGATAGGGTTGGTGTAGCTCCAGTGGTGGACAAAATTAGAGTCGTCTTAGATGATTTGGTCACATTAAACGTCGACCATCTGATGATCCGATTAGGAGAGTAGATGCTTTAGATTCGACTTATGTTAAGAAAGACAAAGGTAGACCTAAAACGACTTGGGCGTGTTGTATAAAAAAGGATCTTAATCTATTAGAATTAAATGAAAATATGTCACTCAATAGGACGCAATGGGGAATAAGGATTCATGTAGCCAAGACCACTTAGTGGGATAAAGGCTTGTTGTTGTTGTTGTTGTTGTTTTGTTGTTGTCGTTGTTTTAGTATTAACATTGAATCAAATCTGTCTCGACTATTATTATTAATGTGCACATAAGAAAAACAAACAAAAAACTTTCAAATATGAGAGACATACCATTTTTCCAACCAAGGTTTGGTCACGAGCCCAAAATCAAACGTTATAGATGAGTATACCTCTTTACTTGTTGCATCAACTTCATTCAAATTACTACTACTTTTATCAATGACTCCATTGTCTAGACCATTTACTCCAGACAAATCTCCTAAAACAGTAATTTCTTAAATCTATGCTATCATATCTCCAGCATTATTGAATCACAAAAATTTAATTTTTGCATCAATGTCATATTCAACTATACTTCTTCATCTAACAAAGTTATTAAATGCATTAGAAATCCATACTTATTGATAGTGGGTAGCATACAATAGCGCAAAAATCCCATGGAGCAATAATGATTAGCATGTGGCATGGCATATTTTTTAAAAAATGACGTAAGTATTTAAAAATAAATACTTTAAACATAAATAACTACAAGATTGAAAAATAAACCATCATGATAATGGAAATAATGAAAGTAATGCTAATGTTTAAGAGTTCAACACCTCGAACAATAGATGATATTGATGATATAAATAAATAAGTTTAGTGAACTTTTGGAAACCACATCTCAAAGTCATTAGAAAATTTAATAAGCACATACTCAGCATTAAATAATTTTATTTATTCTTATAATCATATAACAATTTTAGCCATTTAACACATCTAATCACTTAAAACCTCAAAGTCATTAGAAATTTTGATGTCGAATAGTTCATGTAAGATTTGATCTTAGTTTAGAGAAAATAATGTCAAATTTCATGGCTATTATTCCATGAGAACAAAGAAATAAGAATAACAAACTTTTATATGAGCTTGCAAGTAGATTAATGAAGCCATTTAATCAAACATTAGCACATAAAAAAATAAGATCGAGAGCTTTTTTACTTATTTGATTTGATTTAAAATTTAATTAAAATTAAATCCTGAACCTTAATTAAAATAAAATAAGATTAATAAAAATATACACATAATATTGAGGATTAATTTATTCACTAATTAAAATAGCAGATGTTATCGGTGCATAATGCCATGTAATATTGCCTATACATATTGTAAATAGAGTACACCATTTTAACCATATGACGTGCCATACAAATGGCATCAGGTGCACCATGCCACACCGAATTTTGTTATGCACTGTACGTGTGCCATTTGTCATTATTAATATGTAGGTCTTTATATTTTTAGTGTAGTCATCTATGAAATGATACATTACATTGAGCCGCCTAGAGATGGGACTAAGGATGGCAAAAAACATCCATGAGAACTGATTTTGGGCTTTCTTCTATTTTTAAAGAAACTGAATATTTTATGCTTTCAAAAAATGCTATCTTTATAAAAGTTAAAATCAACATATTTTAAATTTGAAAATGTGCCTTAGAATGTAATATTTTTAGACTTTTCACTTATATGGCCTAATATGCAAAAACAAATATTAGTCTCTAAATTTGAACATGTTTTAGCTCTCATGATTTTCATATTTGAAGTGGTATTATGTGGTTTTTGGTTGTAGCTGTAGATTTATGTTTAAGTAGCATTTACCAAATCAGCGAAATCAGACAAAGCTCGCGATGATGCGACGATGCGACAATGCGACGGAGATGAGCACACGAGCAACGACGGAGTAAATCCTTGAAATCTGCCTCACATTAGGATTTGATAAATCTGGATTTACGTCGTAGAGGAGACGAAACGGGCAAGAAAGAGACAGAACAGGAGATATTTGGATTTAATGAAGGGTTGGATTTAGTTTTTCCTTTTTTGGTGTTTGACTGAATTTAGGTGAAATACATGGCTAAATTCTATTAAAAGTGAGCTACCAAACACCCCCATAAAGTGAATCAATCTTACTTCCTCGAGCAATCAACAGTTGTCAACATTGAATATGACATTACATACTTCTAATATTATGATGTATTTGGTGTAAAAAAGCGAATACTGAAACAACAAAAGTATTCAAGGATAAACAAAGGCAACATCATTCACTATGACTATAGAAGCTCATTTAAGAAACAATGTTGATGCAAGTCAAAACAAATAATAACATTAAAGTTAAGCAAATTCATGAGAGCTTGAGAAGCCGTTCAAATGATAAAACCTCGGCACCAGGTGTAGAGAGTTCGCGGCTTCATGAAGAATGGGGAAGTAGCTCGACTGAAAAGTCGTTCAAATGAGGAGATCATGGCACCAAGTGCAGAGAGCACACAAATTCAGACAAAAGAGGGAGATAGCTCAGCTAAGATTTTGACACCAGGCGTATAGAGCTTGCAGCTTGAGGTGGAAGAGGGAGTTTGCTCAACTAAGGTCTCAACACCAGGAATAGAGATGTCTTGAGGCGTAAGAGTCGTTTGCTCTACTAAGAAGTCTTTCAAACGAGGAGATACCCCAGGTGTATAGTGCTCGTGGCTTAAAGCAAACGAGGGAAGTAGGTTGCTTTCTAAACAACTCTACAGAGCTAACGAAGATGGAGGACAGAAGTGTAACACGGTCCTCAGGCCGTAATTTCTATGCTTTGAGACAGCAATAAGTAAAAAAATCTTCTTTATGATTGTTTTAAGTAAAAAACCCAAAAGTTTTCTACCAAAACCCTCATAAAGTTGAATGTTTGATAACTAGAGCCTAACAAAATAACTTGAAGTGAAATAAAAATGCTTATATAATTGATATTATGATTCAACCTAGAGTTCCCAATTTTTTATGCAGCAAACTTTACTTTTTATCGTGATCATATTTCCTAAAGCATTTCTCTGCTAGCAATTTGTTACGTTGACCTACAAATACCATCAAAGGATGGCTTCACGTCCCAGACATCATTATCTTATATCACAATGACCTGTTCAGATCCTAATTTGTTTGCTACATTTGACAGTGGGATGTAGAGGTCCTACAACATTGGAAGACTCATAGATGACACTTGCGAAGCTTCGACAACTTGAATCAGACTTCTTTCAAGAGTATAAAGACATTCATTTACCAAGGATGAATGCCCTAAAACTATGGAGAGTATATGCAGTGTATCACACTTATAATTTTTGCTATCATCAACAACAGTTATGTCTATCATAGAATATATATATTTTGTAACTAGGACTTGGAACAACCATTGACTATCATCACAAAAATTGAGTTTCACATATCAATTTTGATAAGTCACTTCTAACTTGCCACAACACCATCCCCATCCCCATTACTATGGCTCCGCCACCCCACCCCCTGCGCAGCTCTCTTCCATTCTCATTTTGATTACTAGCTTTGGAATCAATTTATATTACTGACTTCAAAGTTTGCATTGTAACTCGCCTAGACTATTTAAAAACCAATACTGATGCTATAAAGTCCGCCCACCATTGTTTTTTTTTTCAATTTCAAGCCAAGAACATACATCCTCCCTTCTTTCTTTTCTTGGTTTAGTTATTGTTTAAATTCTAGATCTACTACCTTGTTTGAAATAAAATAATGATAACTGTTAAATAAAATTGCTCCTGAGTGCTCTTGGCACTTATTCTCTTTGATTGTTATCCACCTCTAAATGTACTTAGGAGTGTAATGAATGCAGCCCTAAAAGCACTTTAAAGGAAGTAGGAATCATTTTACAACAAATAACCACTTCTAAAGGAAAATCCTCCTTTATCATAAATTACATATCCAATATCAAGGCTCCTGTCTATTTATGTTAGCTTTCCATATGTTGCTTTTTATTTAATAAGCTCTCTAATCTCATTTTAGAGCTCATCTTATATTGCAAACTAATAATTCATACTAATCCAGTGTACTATTCATATTGATACAGTTAGATAGTACAGTTTAAGCAATTAGAGAGAGTCGTCTTAGATGGTTTGGTCACATTAAACGCCGATCATCTGATGATCCTGTTAGGAGAGTAGATGTTTTAAATTCAGCTTATGATAAGAAAGGCAGAGGTAAACCTAAAAAGACTTGTGCAAACTGTATAAAAAATGACCTTAATCTATTAGTATTAAATGGAAATTTGACACTCAATAGGACGCAATAGAGAAAAAGGATTCATGTAGCCAACCCCACTTAGTGGGATAAAAGCTTGTTGTTGTTGTTGGCGTTGCATCTATGTTGTTATATGCCATTTTAACTTCTACAAGAAACTTAACTTTTATAATCTCTAACGTATAGAATTCTATGGGAAACAAGATCATAAACTGGAGTTGAACACGCTGTTGAGCATAAATAACTTCATTAAAGAGGTGCAGTGACAAGCAAAAGAAAGCTTACCCCGGACTCTGTGAACAGTAAACTCTGCAGGTACAGTGCTTTGAGGAAGCAAACCCTTAATTAGTTCTGCTTTCATCAGTGTTTTTAGCCTCTGGTGCTCAGAGATGGCATCTAAACACTGTTGTATGAGAGGAAGTAATGCAATTTGTTGTTGCTGCTGACCCGAAACTGGCGGCCATGCTACAACACATATAATATACACCATGAAATTGCTTTGGATAGGAATGCTAATTAAAATCGGATCAGAAAGCAAAACAGAATGCTGAAAGATCGAACTAGTCCAAACAACAGATGAATGTCAGACGAAATTTGATTTCCTTGAAATCAATACAAAGCACTATAAAATGAAAATTATTATTCGAAGCAAAAAAACAAAAAATCATCATAAGAAACTGAATCTCCTAAAGAGAAAAATAAAATAAAAAAATTTGAGTGCATATGATACTCACACACTGATCGGTCACGTGCTTGCACAAGAGAAGCATGCAATTGATGAAGAAATCCATCTTCATCTAAAGTAACTGTGGGTTGCCACTCCCTCATCTCATAAACTGGTGATGCATTAACAGGCATTGTTGTATTATTGGGTTCACTACCAACTTGGCTTATGGTAATGTTTGCACCATGGCTGGCTGCTGCTTGCATAACCTAAGAATCAAGTAAAAGAAAGTTACAATCAAAAGAAAACCTTGTATACTATGAAGTACAAATATGGACATAGGCTATGGATGCTACACAACTGTTAACTGTGACATGACATTTTGAAAAATATTAGCGATGAAGAAGAGTGGACATTAATTTTCATGAATTCAAATTAATGGTACATGAAGATAGGAACATATTGTGCAAAAAACAAGCCTTCTCTATTGTGATCCAGAAGTCATGGGTCCTGTGAATCACAAGAACAAATTTCTGCAAATGAAAATTTAAGGTTTCATATGTCAGCTACTTCTCAAGCTCCGCATTTGCAAGAGCTTCATGTGACAGGTCATAAGCTTTGGTAGCACAATGGCGCATATAGAATTATATTGACAAGCATAAAATGTGGGATATCAAATGCTTCAAAAGAAGGAAGTGGTAGAAACGGAGAAAATAAAAGATGGAATGCTAATAAGAAAAAACAGCAGAAGGAAGTGACTTATTTTTTTAGAGAATAATGCACCTCTATTGCAGGGGTGGAACCAGATTAAGTTCAGGAAGGCAACTGCGCCCAACAAAATTTGCAATTTATCTATATAAATAGTAAAATTAATTTTATTTTTTATGTAGTTTAGGCGATTTAGTAATTTTGCCTTCCCTCGATATATCTATTTGCCTCAAAACTTTCAAAAAATTAGATTTTGCCCACCCTAAAAATAATGGTGGTTCCACCCCTGTTCTATGAGTTTATTTTGGTGTATTCTGAAATTTGGTTGGCCAATCATAACAACCCATCTTATATGTGGTTCAATTAAGTAGTGCTTCTATTTTATTTTGATTGTCGAAACGAGACCCTTGCTACCTCTGGACGAAACTTTATCATAAATGTCCCTTTCATGTTTTATTAAGTTTATTCCACTGAGGTATATAACTTTATTTTTGGGATGAACTTTTTATTTTTGAATTGCATTGATTTCTAAAAACTTATAGCCTTTATTCCCAAACTTTTATTTCTTTTGATATACATATAATCAATCCCAAACTTTGCTTCTATGAAATTGACTGACGTGGCCCTCAACTTTACTGGCAAAAAAAATAAAGGAATGGCAGAAGTTATGTCCAATTTGTGTCAAATATGTGCAAATGTGGTTGCCAAAGGGTGTCCAAAAAGTCAAGGATAGAGAAATAAAAAAGAACATGACAAGCCAATGTTAAAAATTCCCTGGTGTTTAAGAAAGAACAAGCTTCATAGCCATAAACCTGACTGGATAAAAGAAAGTCACAAACCAGAATATGACTTGTCCCAATCTTATCAAGAAGTGGCTTGACTAGAACCGAAGAAAACCATTGCCTGAGACAATCCCGCCACTGTTCAATTTGAGGGTAAACACCTAAGTTCTCAAAAGCCTCTACTGTTTGTTCCAAAGACATTGGAGGAGGGACCTCCCCTTCTCCCTTCTTTGGGGGTGAATACTTCTGAAGCGAACCAGGTGATAGGCGAACTGGCCTCAGTGGTGTGCTTCTGGCAGCACCAGAAGCATTACTTGAGCTCAAAATAGAGCTAGGGCTGACAATTCCAAACCCACTGACTGTAGGTGAAAGAGTGCCTTCTGCTTTAGCCTCTGACAGCTTAATCTTCTCATCAACATCTGCCAAGAACTCCTCCAGCTTTTCTTCTGTTAATATTCCTTTAGCACTTCCAGGGCTATGCCTAGACCACGGGATTGCTGGTGAGGAGGCATATTTATAAGGCGTTGAAGAAGGAGATTTGGCTGTCACTACTGTGTTCCTTCCTGCACTGGAGATCTGCTGATCAGACCTGCTTCGTAATGAGCGAGGAGTGCAGTTGGAAGCTGAACTTCGAATTGGGACTAAGGGCTCTGACATCGGCGGAGAAGAAACAGATTTAGACATTGGAGGCATCTTAACAGAATCGGACTTTTCACTCTTATCAGTCGGCTTTGGCTTCAAACCCAATAATCTTAACTGGCGATCAGTAAGGATTTTCTGATTTTCAGTAGCTTTCTTGGACGAGGATGCAGCCAAAGCCTTCCTGACATTAAGCACAGACAAAGCCCTGATGAAAGCTGACAAAGTAGCTAAGAACACCAAGGCAATCGCAGCATGTAAGGCCTTGGAAACCAGGACTGCGACAATGAAAGAGTAAATTTAACAAACGCTTGTAGGGCATCAAGAGGTATGATGCTAAGTTGAAAGTTCCGGTAGCTTACACGTTGTGCCAGTTAAAATGTCGAATCCGGCTAATCTCTTGACGAGCACTTCTTCCCTTCATTGTATGCAGGGAAACAGATAAAAATTAACTTTTACATTAGCATTTCCTGATAATGAAACTAAATTGGCCATGTTGGGCGGGTAAGAGGGCGGAAATAGAGGCGGAGAGAAGAAAACGAACCAGGAGGACATCGTGAGGAAGGCTACGGAGGCGGCAAGGAAAGATGCGGAGATGAGGAGGAGGGTAGCTGTCGAAGGGCGAAGGCTGGTGGAGTTAAGGGCTGCAGAAAAGGCGGGATTCTGATATACGGAGAACTTGGGCTTGGGAGCTGCCGGAGAGACTTCCATGGCGCCAGAGGTAAAGTTCGGACCTTTCGAGCGCCGCAGGTATGATGACTCCTCGGATGTTTCCTTTCAGAACTTTTGAGCGGGCATGAATATGTAACTGGAGAAAGGCTCGAACGAAGGCAATCGTCTTCCTAGGGCAACCAGAAAGTATCCGATTGATTTAATTATCGCATGACCGTTTGGATGATATATTTTTGGTTGTTGACATGTTAATACATAGGAACTGGTTGGTTAGTGTCTATATATATATATATATAAACACACACACTGACCACAATGTATTTGTTTGAGAAATACGCTTGAGATTTTATTTCATATAAAAAATTTCCTATTTTTAAATGTGGATTAAATATTTGAAGTTAATCTCAACAACATAGATTTGAATAATAATTTAATCATTAGGTCTCAGGCAATGGTTTTCTTCGGTTCTTATTGGCAATTTGAGGGTAAATCACCTAATCTCAACAACTTTATTGGAGTATCACTACATTTAGTCATGCTGTAACTTTACAAGAAGCTTTGCAGGTTAAGATAACAACCAAGGGGCTATGAGATGTAGTGGATGTAGTGAATTGAGAGAAGTTTTGGAATATTAGTTGTTGTACAAGCAAGAAGGAAATTGCAAGGATGGGTAAATGTTTTAAGCAAGAGTGGGAGACGGAGTCAAGAATGGGTTATTATTTTGTATTGAAATTGAATATGGCAATAAGGAATAATTCTGGAGATGAATCGAGAGCATTCACCGGTGAGGACTGGATGGAAATGGGGAGAAACTAGTTGTGGGCTTCATTTATGCAAGCTAAGGTGTGATAGTTCAATTCATAGAGAGCAACAATGTGTTAAATGTAGTGGTGTCAAAAATTGTTGTGAAAAGACTAGTCTTGTTCTCAATTGGGAGAAATGTCAATTCATGGTCGTAGACGGTATTTTTTTGGACATAAAATATCCAAAAAAGGCATGAAAGTAGACCCAACAAAGATTCAAGTAATTGAAAAACCACCTCTACCGACTACTATGAGGAGAGTTAGAAGTTTTATGGGAAATGCTGAATTTTATAAGCGATATATAAAAGATTTCTCCAAAATCGCCAAGTCTCTATGCCAACTTTTAGAAAAATATGTTTTATTTAATTTTGACAAATATTGCCTAAATGCCTTCAATTTATTGAAAGAAAAATTATTCACTGCTGATATTATAGTCTCGCCTGACTAGGGGAGACCATTTGAGTTGATGTAAGATGTGAGTGATTATGCTATTGGGATAGTGTTAGGAAAAAGACATGATAAAAATTTTAAAGCTATATACAATACCAATAAAACTCTTAATGAAGTTCAAATTAATTACACTGTCACTTAGAAGAAATTATTGGCAATAATATATGTTTTAGATAAATTTAGATCTTATTTAATTGGAACTAAATGTATTGTTCATGTCGATCATTCGGCTATTAGATATCTTATGTCAAAGAAGAATGAAACCAAGATTAATTAGATGAGTTCTTCTAATGTAGAAACTCGATGTCAAAATAGTTAATAGGAAAGGATCGAATAATCAAATTGTTGACCAAATATCTAGATTAGAGCAGGGAATTTCTTATACTTATGAAGATGCAATTAAAGAAAGTTTCACTGATGAGCAATTGTATACTGTTACTGAGTGGTGCATTTCGTGGTATGCTGACATAGTGAATTTTATTATTAGTGATATTATGCCCTATGAATTAACATACCATCAACGAAAAAATTTTATTCATGATGTTAGATCTTACTTTTGAGATGACCCATATTTATATAAAAATGCAAAGATCAAGTTATCAGAAGATGTGTATCTTTAGAAGAAACCCATAAAATTATTCAAAAATGTTGTGATTCTGAGTTTGGGGGACACTTTAGTGTTGATATAACTGCATTTAAGATTATGCAATATGGATTTTATTGACCTACTCTGTTTAGGAATGTGAATTTATATTCAAAAACTTATGATAGATGTCAAAGAGCAAGTAATATATCTAAGTGAAATGAGATACCCCTAAACTTTACTTTAAAAATTGAGATTTTTTATGTTTGAGGTTTAGATTTTATGGGACTATTTATACCACCATTTGAAAACTTATATATTTTAATAATTGTGGACTATGTCTCAAAATATATTGAGGCGGTAGCTCTTCCAAATTGTGATGTTCAAAGTGTACCTAAATTTTAAAGAAGAATATTTTCAGTAGATTTGGCATATGCCTAAAGTGATCATTAGTGATGGAGGAAGTCATTTTAAAAATAGACAAATTGAGAAACTAGTTGTTAAATATGGAATTAAACATAGAACAACAACAACTTATCATCCTCAAACCACTGGTTTAGATGAGGTATCTAATAGGGAAATCAAGAGGATTTTAGAAAAAACTGTCAATCTTAGAAGAAAGGATTGGTCTGTAAGACTAGATGATGCATTATGGGTTTATAAGACTGCTTAAAAAACTCTTATAGGAATATCTGCTCATAGACTCATTTTTGGAAAAACTTGTCACTTGCCAATAGAATTAGAATATAAAACTTATTGGGCTGTTAAAGAATTTAATTATAACTTGGAAGAAGCTAGTGAGAAGAGATTATTGTAGTAAAATGACCTTGATGAAATTAGACAAGAATCTTATAAAAATGTAAAAATTTATAAAAAAAAAGTTGAAATTTTGGTGAAGAAGTGGCACAATCGGAAGATTCTTAAGAAAGATTTTGAACCTGTACAAGAGGTTTTACTATACAATACCAATTGAAATTATTTCCTGAAAAACTTAAGTTCAAGTAGTCGGGGCCATTCACTGTAATTAAAGTTTATCATTTTGGTGCAATCGATATTAAAAATCCTAAAAGTAGAAAGATATTTAAAGTTAACGGACAAAGACTTAAAAATTACATAGGTGGAAATATGTCTATAATTAATGAAGTTTTAATGTTAGGTCAACTTGAGTAAAAAATTGGATTCATCGAGCTGACGAAATTAAACCAAGCACTTCTTGGGAGGCAACCCAAGGTGTGCATTGGTGTGTCTATTTGAGTTTATAATGTGTTGTGTTATTCTTTGTTGTGGATTAGAATGTTTGATGTTGTTTGAGATGTTTAAGTTTGTGATAATTTGCTTTGATTTTAGTAAGTTTTGAGAGTGACGATTCCTTAGCTTCTCGTTGTGATTAGACTTATATTTATTCACTGGTTATAGTTGGATTAACTAGCCCACTACATCTTAGTTCTCAATCAAACTTAAGGAACTATTGGAGATATACTGAGTTTGGACATAGGACAGTCCATCTCAATTCTATTACTTCCTTCATCTGACCACGTTTATCATCAGGTGGGTCCAATAAAGCAGCTTGTAGATGAACATGAGGATGATCTTGCCCATATTCTTATTTATTGTTAGAGGTGCATATTTTAGAAGATGAGGTAATACCTGAGGTTGGCTACACATAAGCCAATATATCAAAGTCAATTTTGTCTTTGAGTTTGACCCGAATAAAACATCTAAAAGCACCCAATACCTCTCTAGAAGAAGATTTCGTTAGAAATTGGAAGTAAAGAAGGGAGGTGTGATGAGGAGGAAGAGTAAATTTCATTGATCTATCATGTTTGTTTGTTTTCTAATGTGATTTAAGACTTAAGAAAGATCAATGTATGCAATTTAAATGATTTAAACCCAATTCGGAAATAGCACTAAGGACTAAGGACACCTAACATCAAAATGTCAGGATGTGAATAGCGCCTAGGTGCCAATAACCCGACGCCAAGGTGCTACACTCGAGCGCCTTGGTGCCCATATCGCAAAGCCTAGACGCCATACCATCTGCTTCCCAAAAACCAGCCCGACAATTCCGATTTAGGTCATTTTTTGCACAAAATTTTTCCATGACTCTTCTCTGGCAAATCGAGGGTAATACATAGGGTTCTTCTTTCTCTTGCATTTGGGATCATTCTTGATGCACTAAAGGTAAAATTCCAAATCTTAGCCTTGCATTTCTCTATTCATCTGGGAATTTTTTGAAAATTTTTGGGTAATCAGTGGAGGAGAAGATCTTTGTGGGGAGAATTGATTAAAGCCTTTAACTTGCATTGTGGGTGCATTTGCATCATACATTTGGATTTACCTCACCTTGATTGCATATCTCACCCTTATTATGGCACCAAAAATCAAAGGGGGAATGACTAAGGTTTCTTTTGATAAGTATAAGTTTGTTAATGCTAAAGTTGAGGAGGTAGATTTGATGTTTATTTTTATTTTGATGTGATGTACTGATGACTTTATTTTTCCCTGCTATTGTTGTATTAATGTATTTACTTTTATTCTGTTGTGTTGGACCATTTCTTCCGATGCTAATGTTATACATGTCCAAGATTAGTATATATTTATCCTTTTCTATTTATACTTGTATATTTTTCATGATAAGTTGTGGTGGAAAGAAATTCAGATCTATTTTCTTCATGCTCATATTTCTGATCTGATTGTTATACACGTTAAAAATCAAGTTTGAGGGGGCAGCTTACATATAAAATTGATATCACTTTAAAATGACTTGTGGTATGTGGTTTTACCTTAAGGGTACTATAATTTTGATTTTGGGGATATTATAAAAGACTTCGATTTGTTTGGTGAAAAAGACTGTGCTAGAGTTAAGTTATTTAGTATGAGATAATATGAATATGATTTTACTATTTATAGTAGGAAAGAATTGTACTTTTGAAAAATTAGGATACTTAGATTTACACTTTAAAAAAATTTAGACTCTATTAAAACTTATTTTCAAACTAATACTTACAACTTTCAAGTGCAGGAAAGTAATGAGTTTTTAACTTTAGGAGGAGGATAGTGAAATCTAAAACTATTTAAGGTTTATCCAGATATATTAATCCTCATATAAAAGTAAAAAAGAATTAAAAAGATCCTGAAAGAAAAAGAAAAAGAAGAAAGAAAGAAAATTATATAAAAGTGAGGAGAAGTTTGAGGAGAAGCCTAATAAAAAATTGGTTTCACTTGAATCTTTTTAAGGAAAAAGACTTAGATATAATCCTAAACTTAATTTTATTCCAAAAAGTATTAGCAAAATTTTGACAAATAGAGTACTTAAATTCTGATTTTATACTTTCTAGAAATCCCAAGTTTGACAAATTAAAATTATA